AATGGTAACATTGCCCCTGGGCCAGGGTCAGGTACTGCTTAGGACAAAGGACTAAGATAGTAGACTCTTTCTCCAGAGAATGTCCCCTCCACTTTTTCTCTCATTGTTGTCTGGGGGATTCTGTGATGTATTGAAAAGGGGAAAGAATTAGAAGGCATCTGGGAAGTCACTGTAATAAAATATTTGTAAATGTCAGGTTTGGTCTGGGGTACGATTTCTGAGGCATGGAAATGAATGATGCCAATTCAATACCTTGTTTCTATCATCCACAGGTTTTCAACTAGGTGTGATTTTCTCCCTCCTCTCTTGACCCAGAACTTCTATCAATGTCTGGACGCATTTTTGTTTGTCTGTGACTGAGGGAGAGAAAAAGGAAGCTGCTATTACCCCCATTTGTGGGTAGAGGCAGGGGATGCTGTTAAATATCTTACAAGGCACAGGAGCCCCCATGACAGAGAATCATCCAGTCCAGATGTCAGCAGTGCCAAGGCTGAGAAACCCTCCTGTAAACCAAATGGACTCTCATGCCCTTTGTTTCCCTGGGACTTTTTGTCACTGTGGATATATTTCTTGTAATACCTCTATATGTTTATTTTAAACTTATTTTGAATGTGACATAACCATCTTTCAGAACACAGTTATCTTAGGTCTGCGCAGATTAGCATTCTCAAACTATGTTCTCTCTCTCTCTCTTTCTCTGAAGTTCATAGTGGTGGAACAGAATGACACAGCAGATCTTCAAAGACAGATATTCAGAAGGGATTAACGTATGACCATGACTTTTGAAGCTTTCACCATCTGAGCTACTCAATGAAATAGGTGCTGTACACAGAGATGCAAAAGCGGTTTTCCTTTCTCTTTAAGTTTGAAGCTGCAAGGTGACTTAATATTTGTTTTAATGCTTATTAGTTCCTTCAGTGCAATGGAAAGCAACAAAACCTGGAGTGAAATCCTATTATTCTTGTAAGCTGATGTGCATATTTTCCCCTCATCCAGAAACAACCTGGAGACTTGGCCTGGATTTCATAGTGTCTGTATGCTCTGGGCTACCAATGAAATGTACACTGACTTACCAGGATTGAGGGACCTTTGTTAATCTGTGAATCAGCTGGGTTTACTTAGGCCTACTTGATTTTTTTCTGTAATGGGGAATTTCTATGCCTCTTTAATTCTAGGTCACTGAGGGACTAGAAGAGCCCCTGCCCCCGGTGGTGTTTAGGTGCCTTAGATGCATCTAACATATAGAATTATAAATTGAAAAAGACCTGAGAGAGGTTGGCAAGCTACTGCCAAAACCAAACCTGCCCTGCTCCCTGCCTGTTTTTGCAAATAGCATTTTATTGGAACAAAGAAACGCTCATGTGTTTACATATTATCTGTAGTTACTGTTGCATTGAAATGGCAGAGTTGAATAGGTGTGACAGACTGTATGTCCCACAAAGCCTAACATACTTATTATCTGTCCCTTTACAGGACAAGTTTCTTGGTTCCAACCCAATCCAACTTCCTCATTTTACTGGTGAAGATTAAGAATGCTAGAGAGATAAGTGACTAGCCCAAGGTCATACTGTCTACAGAATTGAGGTTCAAGCATGATTAATACATGTTTTGAGGAATGAAGAAGATGAATATCAGACCACTGGTAAGCTGTGTTCTAACAGCAAAGTGAGGGGGGAAAAAATAAATATGCTGTAAGTCGATTTACCTAAACACAGAAAAAGTCTGTCTTGATTCATTTACCTCATTGAATCTATCAGTTGTCTGTATGCCATACAGATATAGGTGAAGTAAGACTTCAGTCAAGTAATATCATATCTTTATGAAGTGAGGTCCCTGTTTTCCAAAGACTAGCATAATACTTATTGGTTAGCCTCCTATGTCTCAGTATTGTATTCCTCAAAAGTTATGTTATTGATGGTAAGCCAGGGACGACATTTTGGTAATTGCTGCAATCCTGAATGTACTGAGACTGACTACCTGTCCCTGTGCTCTGCTGGGCCACCAGATGACAGTGATGAAATCCATAGAAGTAGGACACATTTCCATAGCCTGAATATTCAGGGCTGGTGATGCAAGCATTATGATTTAAGCACTGGAAGGAACACATTCTCCTTATTTGATTGAATACTAAATACTGCCTTTTCAAAATAATTCAGTATGAATACTTTGATAATGAGGAAAGAGAGATGCATGGGGGAAATAAATCTTGTACCTTTTCTCCTGGTACATAACAAGGAAATTAAATTAAGTTTAAAATGTATAGCTGCCTAGAAGAACTGTTTTGAAATTATTAGCTATATTTTACCTAAAGCTGTCTTACGTGTACTGAAGTATAATGTGATAGAAGTCAGCATAGAGATTAATTTAAATTATTTATACAAAAATAGGATATGTAAAGAAACCTGCTTAACCATAAAGAAAACCCCCTGAAAATAAGTAAAATGCCTACTCCAAGCAATAATAATTATCACCAAAACAGTATTTGTTAGATGTTGGACATTACCACATTTCTGAGTCAAAATATTTGCTTTTCTGTAAATGACAGTTTATACTTCTCCAAGGGCCCTCACACCTCTAAGGGTCCTGAGCACACAGCTAACGTGCCACCATATGTAGTTCTTCATAGCAAAGGTTTTTGCATGAGCAATACAATGGAAAGGGAACCATTTCATCCGTTCATCCACTGAACATGAGCTAAGCCTCTGCTCTATCCAGGCCATGCACTGGGCTCTGGTCCCATGTGAATAAGATAGAGACAGAGTCCCTGTCCTCTACCACCCGTGACCTGAAGGAGGATTCAGGCCAGTAGGCGTAGGAGGCTGCTTGCCTAGTTTCTCTTCCAGTTTGCTCATTTCTCATCATTTGTTCTAGTTCTTCTCCCCCAGTCAGTTAGGGTGGTGGTTGTCCCGTAGGCCAAGACTGGGTTTGGCACCCTTCTGTTTTTCTCCTCCCTCCTTGAAGGTTTCACCTTTCCCTTGGTGTACTAGTTGGGCTGTGATTCCCTCTCCCTGAGCTGCTCCACACCTCATTAATGCATTGTGCTTTAGACTTCTCACTTCCATTTTCTCTCTATCCCCTCACCAAAACTAAGCTTCCAAAGCCCTATAACCGAGGCTCACTCTGTCAACTGGTAAACCCAGTAAGCATTCAGTTAACTCATTAGGTGTTCTGCCAGCAAACATATCTCAGGATCTATGTAGCATTTGAAGTGGGGATTCTCTATGACTACAAATCCTTTATCCAAAATGAAAGGAGGGGGAGCAAGACTAAAGTTTCAGGTGTTGTCATCAAGAGGTGGAAGAGACATTTGTTGTTTCCTCAGACCACACTATATATGTCAAGTATAAATGAAGAAAAGACTTGGTGAGACAAGGTCAGTGAGAGACTGGAGCAGCCATCAATGTGTCACAGGCAATTCTTTTTAGCACAACGGCCACTCATCCCATACTCCCCCCCCCCCTCCTCCCCATTTCTTAAAAGGACACCAGCTCTGTATAGTGCATGGCAGCAGAATGTATTGGGAAGAATATGGATTTTTGGATTCAGTCACTGCTCAAATGAGACTCAGTTTCTAAAAATGCGTGTGTGCACACATAATATACTGTGTGGCTTCAGATATCAGTGTATGTGTTCAGATCACTGTATCTCATTTTTTTCTTTATTTTCCCCTTTCCTTCCTTCACTAACAGGGATAATAAGCAGCAGCCATTTGTGAAAGTCTGAGTAAAGATTTGCAGAGAGAGCAATAAGTTTGTCTGGAACTGACCTCCACAAGGCAAATTCAGAAACCGGCAGATCT